GGGGGGGGGGGTGGGGGGGGTGTGTGGTTTGATCTGCGTATTGTAAATATAAATGGAAAAGAAACATGAACTTCTTTATGTCTATAGTTGGAGACTATTAAAAGAATCACCTATACATCACCCAAGTGAAGCGTTGTGGCTTCTAAAGTCTAAAAATGGATGAACATGTGACCTTTGAGTGGATCTGCCTCATTACTGCAAACAAACACATCTTTCTTCAAATTTCCCTCAGGAATGAGCACAATGCACAAGAAGAATCCCTGTTAAAGAGGCGATTACATATTCAGACTAGAGAACAGTTTGCTAAAATGATATGAATTATTTAAAAATGACGCTATTATCGGTTATCAGAGGAATTCTAAAGATATGCCATTATTTAAAGACGTTAAACTGTGTGAACTGTACTGTCTCAAACACAATTGTTGATGAAAATGTGACAATGTATGTTTAAAAATTGCTACATTTTTTACCAGTAATTAAAATATTTCATTGTCCCTACCATATTAAACTGTATCAAGTAAAATTAAAATGTAGTTTACAAGTATACGACTCAAGTAATATTGAAATTGCAGAGTAAGCTTCATAACACAGAATATGTGAGCGTGAAAATGTATCAGATTTATATAGTATGTAAAAAAAAAAAGCTTGTAACCAGTTAAAATTTATTTGGGTTTTTGTCTTTTTTTTTTTTTTTTTGATAATTTTTCATGTTGTATCCCTAGAACACGAGACTGCAAAGAAGGAAAAGGTCATAACAAAACAAAGAGGCTAGTGTATATTTGTGAGTGACCTCCTGGCCTTTCAACATGTGAGCACCACATTACAAGAGATGCTGTGAAGCACAGCAATTATCAAGAAAATAGCTCAGCCATTGTAACTGTTCTCAAATCTTGGTGTTTTTATTTTCCTCTGTCTTTAAATTGGAGATTAGCATGCTTATTGACATGTACTCATGGTGAAACAGAACAGCTGAACAAGCAAAGCAGGAATCTGCAGAATTTATTGATG